AATTATATGCCTTATCTATTCTTTATGGATTCTCGGTAAACACCGGACCGCTAACGGAAGTTCGGTATACTGCTTCCGTCAATATAGCTTGCAACCGCTATTTGAATTTTACACGTAGCTTACATTTAATTTTGCCACAGTATCATAAAATAGGACACAGATAACAAACAAGTTAAATCAAACAACAATTTTCGTATAGTCAGCATTGTAAGTGGTAAAGGTATAGGGTTTGATGGCGGAAGCACGAATGGGTTAGTTCGAGCGGGAAGGACCTCGCTCGAACATAATGCCAGCATAAAATAGCGGAATGCTGCTATGCTTACTGTAGTAAGTGACATAATCCAGAGAACCTTTTAACTGGTAACGGGATTCCACAGTCTACAAGAGTGACAACGCATCTGGATTTAGATTATAAATTGAGATATAGGTATTTAGGAGTAAACGAACACCCTACAGTATCCATTTGCTTTTAGTTAGACCGCTTGTTTTACACCCTTACTTAAAAAAATCGGGAACAGTTATCAAAGAAATTTTAAGTAACTTTACCGTGCTGACAGGACTAGATGGTAGTAGTACCATCTATACGATAAATATTCATTCGATAAAATGAAGTGTAGGTAGGTGTAGATCTAAAACAGCATTAGATGAACTCCCACGTATAAGATGATGTATCAGGTGCTTCGAACAATCTAGTAACAGACAGACAGTCCAGTCCGTGCTTTGTAACAATCTAGGTAATGATTACAGCGAGAATGTAATGTTTTACTGGGCACAATCCCAATCACATTGGGATAGAATAGAATCAAACAATTTTTTTGACAATACTACTCAAAAAATGAGAATATATAACAGAGAACGTATATGTCGTTGTGTATAAAATACCGGTTGCATCAAGAGTAAGCAAGAGGTTGTGTCTCTATAGCAGAGCATCATATCAATGGTGGCGGGGTAGAATTGGGGATAGATTGGGAAACCCCCACTTGTTTGTGCAGTATAAAGTTCAATGTGGCTGCTGAGCGTGGCGAATCCGCTTAAGTCATACTACGAGTGAAGTCATTATATGATAGTGGCGTGGTTCTGTACGTGGTGGTGGTTCTTCTGGTGCAGGCAAGGAGAATGGTGTTGCTGAGAGGCTGCCCTGTGTTACGTCGGGAGGGGTGGTATTGCTGTTGGTTTGCAATGCTTTGGTGATATCATCTAATTATGTCCTTCACCTTACACCAGTGTGTAATTGTGACGGGAAAATATTTCTATATGGTCGAACTGTAATTGCTCTGCACTTAAAGTTTAGTTCGTTACGACATCTTTGTTTTATCATTGATAATGATTTATTTCGTAAGCAAGAGGGCAAATTGAACATAAGCTTTCAAACTTAAATATTTTATCGAATGAATATTTATCGTTCGAAAGTGTTTACTTTACTAAATACTACATAGACAATAAAGACCTATATTAATTGTAGTATAAAAGGCCTATGTAAGCTAATATACTATGCAAAATACTACACATGAATGTTTTGATATACGTTTCCACTCAGCAACAATGCTGACGGATTATTTCCGCCGCTGATTTTCAGAGAAAACGTATTTACAAGTAACGTTACAAAAAATATCTGCCGCTGTATGTTCTTTCTCTCCGAAAAGTTCTGCCACTTTTAGTTCTCGAAGATATTGCTTCTGTACAGATTCACGTTATTTGAAAATTATAATAGTAAACGGAATACAGTTTCACTATTTCATTCTTTTGCCTTTTCTGCTGAACGGGTTAGACCTTGTAGTTTCAAGATCAGATTAAAGAAGCTCTCTATAACATCATGAATAATCTTGTTTTAAATAATAGTCGGTTTAAGTTTACGGCGATTGAATTACGCCATACAAATGTAACTAAGCATTTAGCTGCAGCGCTGAGCCCACTGGGTTCAAATCCCGTATGGAAAAACTATTGATCGGATCGTGTATGCTTGAATATTAAATTTTTTATTTATTTATAATGTTGAAAAAAAAAAACATTAAGTTAACATAAATTAATAGAATCGTTGATGTTGTGCACGTCTGATTCATTGTTATAGTTATAAATTGTGAATAAGAAGGCAAATGCCTTAGCGCAATAAAAACCTATTCCCTCTATCCTTGAAGGCGCCCAGATTGCTATCAATTATATTATGTAATTAATAATATTTCCACTTCTTTGCTGTATGTAATAAGAAAGGGTACTTCAAACGTAAGAAATAAAAAATTAGATTTAACTGAACGCGATATAAACCGAAAAATAAATAAAAAAATATAAGAAATTATTACGTGAACCGATTATCTATAATTCATTAATTCATTCGTTTATGCTATCAGCGATATCTTTCATAAACAAAGCTGTTATTAATCTCTTCTAATCCGTCTAAATAGGAGTAATTAAGCGACCAAAGGGAACTAAGTTAAGCTTTATAATTAATTATCGTTATTAATAAATTATTACTGTCTAGATGTAGCTTAAGTTTTATATTAGTCCGAATTAACGAAACAACTCTACACATTTAACGCGTTGTAGTGCAGTGCAGTGTCTATAAGATGTAGCCCTCTGAACCGCGGCTTCATCACCGTGCGAAATAAATAATTGTATAGCATAGAAATATTTTATTACTAGTAGATAGGACTGTTTTTCTGCCTAAGTTTCGTCTGAGATGATATCCCCCTCTTAGCTATTTCTGCCACTAAATAGCAGTGCTTGCATTGCTGTGTTCCGGTCTGAAGTCTAAAGACAGCCAGTAAAATTGCAGGTTGTGAGGCACTCAATCTTATTCCTCAAAAGTGACAACGCATCTGAAGCCATATTTATTTGAAATTGGCTTCAGGTCCACGGACTGCAAGAAACACTTACCATCAGATGGACTAAGTTAAATTCGTTTGTCACTTTAATTAGTAAAAAATCTATAGTATGTGTGCTTATCCATTTGCACGTGTCCAGCAGCCCGCAGGCAGCTTAACACTGCCAATACGCTAAATAGAACTCACTTTATCATTATCATCATAATTACAGCCAATCATGAATGCACTAATAAACATAGGCGTCCCCTCAGAATGCAATTTAGGACAAAAAAATTTTTTGCATCTGTTTCCAGTTCATCCCTCTATCTAGTGGAGGCTCAACCTATACTTTACTTAGTGGTACGAGACTATCTCTCGAGAAACCTTCTTCCCCATTGATTGTCGCTTTGCGCTCATTTATTTAGGTAAATTAGTTTATTGCAAGCGCATCTTGTGTCGCCGTAATACGTTATGCGGTAAAAATGCAAGAAAAAACAATTTTATCAACATTTAGCGAATAGTAGTCACTTTTTAATTTGTTTAGAAACAAATAGATCTACAGATAAATACTAAAGTTCATTCTGAATGTATTATCCCGGTCTAACGATTTTTTATACAAAATTGTGTTACCTTATTTGCAAATTAAAAAATAACATTGTTGCTATACGAAAAAATATGATTGATGAGAGATCGCTGAAATATAAATGCGGTAGTCGTTTTGATATTTAATATAATAAAAGTCTAGCTTACAATGTTACAACAAATGTTTGAATATTAAAGACGTTTCAATTTGATTTAATCTTAGACATTATGTTTCGTTCTTTCTTGATTAATTTCTTTTGTCAATCTATCAACTTCCTTTGTATCTTATTAGGTCACTCCACCCAGAAATCACTCCTTGCACAAATAGCAAGCTTTCTTTTTACATGCGAGTATGCGACTCACCTGATGACAAGTGACTACAGCAACCCATGAACAAATGCAACACCGGGGGAATTGCAGATGCATTGCCGGCCTTTCAAAAAAGATTAGGCTCCTTTCTTATGGGTCTCTAAGTTGGAAAAATCTTTGGTGGTAGTTGATTCTAAGAGGAAGTTATGCGAGGAAGAAAACTTCTTCTAAATCGCACAGTAGTGGACCGCTAATTATCCAGACGGTTTGGATGATATCGTGAGTTTTGACGCAATAAGCGATGGTGATGGCCAATTTGGCATTATTTTCCTAGTGACCACGAAACTACACGTAACTCGATATTTCGACGCCGAAGATTACGATACTAGTTGAGGCAACAAGAGGAATGCCCTGAAACTAAGGAGATAGACAAAGAGGTTATTTCTGGGAATTTAACTGGGCTAGATTTAGTCTAGTTTAGATGGGTAGGCTCGACCGAGGAAGGACCACGCTCTCACAGAATACCAGCGTAAAATAGCTTTACACTGCTGTGTTCATATGGTGAGTGTACCCGGAGACGCTATTTACTGGAAAACAGGCACTCTATCTTAGTCCACACGGGTGACAACGTATCTGCATTTGATTCGCAAATGAGGATAGATGTAGATATCTATGGGCCACAGCAACCACTTACCATCAGGTGGACTGTGTGCCCGTTTGTCACCCCATCCATAAAAAAAACTAGATTTAGTTGCCCCCAGTCTGATACTTTGTTCAACAAAGTCTCGATTTCAGACACAAGTTTGTTCCGATACTCAGCGATGTTTTCCCGAGAAATATTGACACGACCGGTATATGAAGCATCACCAGCGCTGTCGTCTGCATAGCAATGATGTTAACATATATATTATGTTATATGTCTCTTAAAGAAAACAAAATAAATATTTTCATCCTTAATTAGTCAATTCATGATTGAATGTCTCATTGACAACGCTAAAATCATTTAGTGCGCCTATTGTTATGATAATATAAATTTCATAGTTTATTTAAAAATACTAATTTCTATTGAAGATGGCGGACAGGATGCTATATCTATACCAAGTACTGATGTACTTGAATCGAACTGTTTTGATTCGATAAAGATTTAGATATGATTATTTAATTATAATAGTAAGCAAGTGATAAAGTTATCAAAATAGCAATCAAAGATATAGATAATTAACCGATCATAACCGATATCATACCAGCTGGATGGTTTCATTATTAATTGACTTTTCTGGAATTTATGTTTAACAAGTGAACTCGTATAAAATGTATTTATCGAAATTTCTCGCAATATTTTTATGTTGTATTAATATTCTAGTAAAATGTAAATCGATGTCTGGCTATCACGACCTGGTAGGAATTCCCAGAGCAATATCATTGAGACTATCTGAAAGATTGCGAATTGTGGGAGGCTCCCAAGTGGCGGCCATTTCTTCGCTGCCTTATCAAGTAAGAGATTACATTTAAATTTTTATTAAAATTTACAATATAAGCAATACAATATAACGAAAAAAAAATATGCCTACTGTGTTACTTGCTTATCATATCGTAAATAATGCGATATTTAGATTTGTAGTTGTGTAGCCGATGGACTAGCCAACACATGGATGTGGACCTATCATTTCTTTCACAATGTTTTATATAAATTCATATTTTGGGCTAAACATAATACGAATAACGAGCTCATTTGTTTTAATAGATTAGATTTAGGTCCTTTACTTCCCTATAAAAGCGTCGAGCAGGGCAATGGTTGTCCCATACGTCCTACTTGTGTACTGTTTGTGGAGTTTGCTCTGCTCGGGTGTAAAATACATTTATTGGTTATAGTTTTTCATATTTCTTTTGTTCTGATTTAATTATAGCACATGCGTATTTTAATAATTTATGGGTCTATTCCTTTTCAATTTTTATTAAGAATATTATATTAATGTCGTCACCTATAAAACGTCATCGCCAGTAAAAGGCTCTCCGTCTCCGTTTCTATTCAGTTATTACATGTATAAAACACAGTTTCGTTACATTGTTTTTTCACTACAATTACTGAAAGTAACGGTGGATACTATCCAATTCGTAGAATGCGTGTGTGCAAGCATGAAATGTGTATGAGGTACTACTACTATGTCACTTTATTTATTAAAAACATATACACAATATTTAACTTTTAACCATTTCACTGTCACGTGAGTAAGATGTGAACATTTCGATTGCTTAGCTATTGTGTATTTTTCGTGAACAGGGAAACTGTTATATAAATTTACTCTTTGTTTAGTACATCTGACAACAGCTGTAGGGGCAATTTTTCATTCTTGAATATCTATTATTAGTGAACGACTATTGTTATTTTACGGTAATTTTTAATAATATTTTCAAATAAAAAATGTATAATATAAAAGTGTTTTAAGCGTATGTATATTTTAAAATAAAAACGGCATATTATATTTTGTAAATACTAAGACCAAGCACAATCTTATAATAACAGTTACTCGTACTCTACTCCAAATAGTAATTTCTCCATGGGACAATGTATGACAGTTTTAAAACAAAGTCCCGGAAAACGGAGCGGAGTACTAAGAAATTAGCAAATAAAATATGAATCTTACTATAACCTAAAAACAAACTAAAAGCGATTGTCTATTAGCTTTCACTGGTATTATAAGCTAAAATAGTGCACTATTCAATAATTAATAGTATAAATGATAGTTGTAGTTACATTCAGCATTTGTAGGTTCTTTAAGATCGATGGAAAATCCTTTGTAGTTCAGGCAAAATATAGTGCCTACGTGTGCATAAATGTGGTATTGGTGAGTATACATCCTAAATACCTTTAAATTAATAATATCATTAAAGCCAAGATGATTCAGGGATAATATGTACATTTATAATATTACCTACATACTCTATATAGTAAGAAAGATGCTCTAAGTATAAAAACAAACAATATAGTGCAACTGCATTTATTATAGTAATTCATAATTTCCAAAGTAATCTTTTAATAGTAGAACAGACAGACAGACAGGCACGGTGTCATAACTTTGTTTGAAAATATATCAACTAATTATATCATACCCCGAACACCATCAAAGCCAACATGACTAAGTAATATCATTTTTATATGTTATTACACACTGATAAATAGTGAGAAAGTAAGACGTTTTAAGCTGTTTATGTATGGATAAAAAAATACATGTTTAATTTAATTATGTTTAATTATAATTTAATTCATAATTTAATTGTAGTTAATCATCATTTCAAAAGATTTTTTCTAAATAAATTGATGAAAACATGCCTATTATGATATTAGTAGCAATCAAAATGACATGTACAATAATAAGAGATGTGACATAAGACTGTTGTCTTCATACTCTTTTTAATCTCTACCTACGGGCAGATCTGCAAGCTTTCAGCCTGCAAGACATACAGATATGCTCTCAGTGATCAACCTGAAAAGAAGTTAATGACTATTGTAAAGAGTGTCTATACTAAATATTAATTCTTATCAATACATTTTATTTTTCTAGATTTATTTCAGTCTAAACAGCATACGGGGACTATGTTTATGTATGTATTAATTTACATTTAAAATACTATAAAGCCAATAACATGTCCTTTTATGATATTGTTAAGAATCAGAAGGACATTTTCAATAATAAGAGATAAGACTATGTATGCCTTCAATGTCAATAAACTATATTTTCATAATTCTGTTAGCATTTTGTTATCTCTGCCTTTATCTTAAATAAATAAGAAATTATGATAAAATAAACACCATTAATCAGCTCCAGTTGATCAAATACAAAAGTAGTAATTATGAATTTACATTTACAATATTTGATTATATACAAGTTGTCTGACTTTTTATTTATACTGGTTTCATGTAGAAGAAAATTATATAATTTTTCTATGAAATATCGGATTGTTGATGACAAAATAATATTCCTTTTTGCAGCGTTAAAACACAGAAGTCTAAGAATAAAAGAAGCATCTGATTAAGTACCAGGATATGGTCTACAAACATCAATGATATAACCATTACACAATTAAAAATGGCTTAACTAAGTAACAATACTTATGCAAACTATATATTTGCTTCTGGTACAAGTAATTACTTCTGTTTTTAATATAAATATATGTATCATATATACAATATATATATATATATATATATATATATATATATATATATATATATATATATATATATAAAATCTATATTTATATATCTATATTTATATCTCATATATATATATATATATATATATATATATATATATATATATATATATATATATATATATATCATATATACTGTATATATGATACATATATACATATATATACCCCATCTCGTGGGGGGTCGCCCTACACTTCGCCTACCGGTACGAGGCTGCCACTCAAGAACCTTTCTTTCCCATCGGTTGTCGGTTCTTCGAGCTATATGGCCGGCCCACTGCCACTTCAGCTTATTAATCCGTTGGGCTATGTAGGTTACTCAGGTTCTATTGCGAATATACTCATTAATAAGTTTATCACGTAGAGAAACCCCGAGCATAGCCCTCTCCATAGCTCGCTGAGTGACCTTGAGTTTCCTCATACGGCCAGCAGTGAAGGACTACGTCTCAGATCCGTAAGTCATCACCGGCAACACGCACTGGTTGTACAATTTCGTTTTAAGGTTTTGAGGTACATCTGACGAGAAGATGTGTCGTAGTTTCCCGAACGCTGCCCAGCCGAGTTGAATCCGTCGATTGATCTCTCGGCCGAAGTTGGACTTACCTAGTTGGACTATCCGTCCCAGGTAAACACACTCGTCATCAACTTCGAGCTACCGGTATGGGTGTGACATGGACATTAATCATGATCTTTGTTTTGTCCATGTTCATCCTAAGACCTACTCGTTGGGAAACACTATTGAGGTCATTGAGCATGGTGCTTAGGTCCTCCAGCGATTCTGCCATAACGACTATATCGTCGACAAATCGAAGGTGAGTGATGTACTCGCCATTGATGTTAATACCGTATCCTTTCCAGTCCTGAAGCTTGAAAAGGTCTCCCAATGCAGCGGTGAAGTTTCGGGGATATAACATCACCCTGTCTTACACCTCTCTGCAATTGGATAGGTTTCGTACTCTAGTTCTGTACTCGGATAGCCATCGTAGCTCTACTGTACAAACACTTCAGCACTTCGATATACCGACAGTCAACTTGGCACCGCTGAAGGGATTGCAGCACCGCCCAAATTTCGACGGAATCAAAGGCTTTCTCATAGTCCACATACGCCAGACACAGTGGCAAATTGTAATCTTCGATCTTTTGTACAATTCGCCGAAGGGTATGTATGTGGTCTATGGTGCTAAAGTTCTTTCGGAAACCAGCATGTTCGGGAGGCTAGAAGTCGTCAAGTCTGCGCGCGAAACGATTCGTAATGACTCTCGAAAACAGCACGTAGACGCGGCTCAGAAGGGAAATCGGTCTGTAGTTCTTCAAGAGAGCTTTTTCACCTTTCTTGAAGAACAAGATAACCACACTTCTGCTTGACGCCTCCGGTGTAATGCCACCATGGAGGATGGAATTAAAGAGCTTCTGAAGGACTTCAAGTACCAGTCTCCCACCCGCTTTCAAAAGCTCCGCTGTAATTCCATCCTCACCTAGGGCCTAGCCGTTTTTAAGGTGCTGGAGAGCCATTCTAATCTCGCTTAGACTGACGTCCGGGATATCATCGGAATAATGTCGGATAAGACTCGCTCTTGGTTCGTTACTCACACTTGCGTGTGGCCCCAATGATGACGTGTACAGCTGCCCATAGAACCTCCCAATCTTTCTCAAAATCTCAGGTGTCCCGGAAACGATGCTGCCACATTCAGTCTGCAGCTTTGACAGCTGGTTCTTTCTGACAGACAGATCTCTGGCAATGACTTTGGAGCCTAAATTCCGCTCGATCGCTTCTTCAATACAAGCTGATTTGAAGTTGCGTAATTCCCGCAGCATGCATTTGGAGATCTGCTTATTCAGTTGCCTGTATGGTGTCAAATCTGTTGAAGAATGTAGCTTCATCTCCCGTCTAACAGCCATGAGATTAAGAGTGTGATAGTAGAGTTCTTGTGTTCTTCTGCGGCGGGTCTTGCAGAACTTAGTTCCGACCACATCCACAGTTTCCACGAGCTTGTCATTCATATCGTCCACTTCATTGCAGTCTTCTATGCACTGAAAACGGTTTTGTAACTCGAGCTGAAAGGTTTCGGGACTTTGAAACAGAGCAGGAGGGGGACGGAGCGTTGACTTTATTAGACGAGACCTCTCCAACTTCGTTACATTCAGTAACGAACGTCCAACACGTTTAGGTTCAGTGTGCCTCTGACCATTCGGTGATCGCTACCAGTTTTCACCCTCACGATCACGGAGACATCACTGAACAGTTGTCGTCTGGTCGTCATAATGAAGTCAATCTCATTTTTTGTGGAACTGTCGGGGCTCGACCAGGTCCACTTCGTATGGGGCCGCTTCTGAAAGAAAGAGTTCATCATAAAGAGTACCTCTTTCTCCCCCTTGAGTTCCGTTACCCTATTCCAAATTTCCCTACTTTCAGCTCACCGTTCTCTCTTGTGCCTAGTTTTGCATTGAAGTCTCCCATTAACACCGTATATTGGGTTTTGGAGGTATGCATGGCTCTAGAGATATCCTCATACATTTCCTCCACCTTCTCATCGGGGTGTGCCGAGGTTGGTGCGTAAACCTGTATGACCTTCAGTGAATACCGTTTGGTGATTCTGAGTATAAGGTACGCAACCCTCGTCGACACACTCTCAATCTTTACAACGTTGTTAACGAGAGACTTGTGGACGATAAATCCGACACCTCCTTGGGACAGATGGTCGCCCTCCCGGTGATAGAGTAAGTTGCCGGATTAGAAGATTACCGTGTCTTCCCCCTCTCTTCGGACTTCGGAAGAGCAATAGAGAGATGTTACTTCACTAATTCACTAGTAGTTGCGACGTCACAGGTTACATCCAAATTCAAAATTGCATCTGGCATGTTGTACACAAATATGAACTTAGTTTGATTTATAATATAGTGGTTGTGCTATTATTGTTGTCCACATGAAATATACATGTTTGTTTAAAGTATGAGTGATAACAATGACACAACAATACAAAAATAGTGTGGCTTTATTTTGAAAATAAAAATAATATAGTGAAGAAAGTGGTTTGTAAAATATGTAAAAAGCAGTTTATAGGTTTTGAAATACTTACTTTAAATTAAACATGAAATACTACGAATAAATGATATAATGATATATTTTGTAATATTAATAAATTGGTGAAGTATAATTTGTGATAGTTAAATTATTAATAACATGAATACCTACCTCATACAGTTAGAGTAAAATTATTTTATGAAGATTGATATGCAAACAAAAAATAATTATATATAATAAATATTAATATATATATAATAAGTTAAGTAATAATATTTGTGTAAGAACAAATATAAAAATAATTTGTAAGAAATTGACACAGCTTCATTCCACCAATTCGAGCTGCGTATTTGGAGGTTAATTCGAGATACGTGAATTTGAACTCGAGTTGAGTTTCTTTCGAGTTGGCACATCTCACATCTCTACTACAATTTTTTTTAATATTACATTATTAGAACCAATGACTTGATGAACACGAATATCAAAACAATTTTCTTCTTCAGATTTCTTCATTCCGTTTAGATTCTTATAAAATATTTAAGCTATTTACAATAATAAATTGGTAAGTTTTTTTGTGTTATTGCATTGAGGATCGTTAAAATTTCAAGTGAGTCAATCAAAGTGTATAAAATTAAATGCAACAAATTTATTGCTACCGTGCTCTTTTTTTTATAGGATAAGGGTGACAAACGAGCACACAGTCCACCTGATGGTAAGTGGTTGCTGCGGCCCATAGACATCTACATTTATCCTCTATTACAAATCAAAATGTAGATGCGTTGTCACCCGTGAGGACTAAGATGGAATGCCTCATTTCCAGTAAAAAGGGCCTCCGGCCACCTGCACTCATCAAGCGAAACGCAGAGGTAAATCTCTACTTCACGCTGGTTTTCTGTGAGGTCGTGGTACCACCCCGGTTCGAGCCGGCCCATCCGTGCGACAGCAAAAGCTCTTTCTAATATATTATACATACTATTGTGCCACATTGTAAATTATTACAAATTATTATTAATTAATATAGTTCCGCTATGTTTCTTCTTGGTCCATCCAAGGACAGAGATTTTTTAATCGTATGGTTATATTGTATGGTATTCCATTTAAATAAACACAATATTTTGATTTAAATTGTGAAAATTATTTAATATATTTTTAGGCTGGTATATTAGCTACACTCACAACAGGACACACATCAATATGCGGAGGAAGTTTGATTTCTAATACAAGGGTCCTTACGGCTGCACACTGTTGGTGGGATGGTCACTTTCAAGCCCAAAAATTTACCATTGTTCTGGGGTCCCTTAAAATTTTCTCTGGAGGGACAAGGTTGGAAACCAAAGACGTAGTGGTACACCCGTCTTGGAATACGAGGGATATACTAAACGATGTCGCTATGGTGAAAATTCCTCGTGTCGTTTTTAACAGTAAGAAATTTTATATATATTACATCATGAATTATTTATTAGGCTCGTCGTAGTTCTCTGAACTATGTACTTTGAAGGATTTTTTCTATAATAAAAGATTTTTCGGTTTAAGAGCCTTGTGTTATATTTATAGACGATAACTGGAGACCCATAGGTGTAAATTCGAACTCTTGGTAGGGAGGTAATGCCATTGTGAGGGAGACATCATTACTACACATAATGGATACGGGTGGCACAGGGACAAGCTTTATGGCTTTATAATTGTACTCCTTGGGCTTCTGTATAATTTGCCGAAGGGTATGTGCTAACGACTTTTCGAAAAGCGGCTCGTTCAGGAAGCTGGAAGTCATCAAGTCTGCATGTAAGACGATTCGTAGTAACTCTCAAAAACAGCACGTAGACGTGGCTCAGAAGGGAAATCAGTCTATAGTTCTTGAAGAGAGCGTTGTCACCTTTCTTGAAGAACAAGAACACTGCCCTTCTGATCCGCACCTCCGGTGTAGAACCACCACGATGGACGGAATTAAAGAGCTTCTGAAGGACTCTAAGTACCGGTATTCCACCCGCTGACAGAAGTTCCGCTGCAATTTCATCCTCGCCTAGGGCCATGCCTTATTTATGGTGCTAGAGAGCCAATATATTCACTCTCAGACTGATGTCCGGAATATCATCGAAATAGTGTACGATAAGAATTGCTCTTGAACCGTTACTCACACTTGCGTGTGACTCCAACGATGATTTGTACAGCTCCCGATAGAACCTCCCAATCATACTCAAAATCTCAGTTGTCCCGGAAATGACAGTCACACTCGGTCTTAAGATTCGACAGTTGGCTCTTTCTGGCAGACAGATCTCTAGCCAAGATATTGGAGCCCTAGTTTCGCTCGATTGCTTCTTCAATACCTGTATTGATCTTGCGTAAAAGCCGCTGGATGCATTTGGAGATCTGTCTGTTAAGCTACCTGCACGCTGTCAAATTTTCTTAAATCTGCAGCTTCCTTTCCCGTCTAACAGCCATGAGATTAAGAGTGTGATCGGAGAGTTTTTGTGTTCTTCTGCGGCGGGTCTCGCAAAACTTAGCCTCGATCGCATGAACAGTTTCCACGAGCTTGTCATTCATTCAAAACGGTGTTGTAGCTCGAGCTGAAAGATTTAGGGACTTTTGCTTTGAAGCACGTGGGGGTTGGAGCGTTGACTTCATCAGACGAGATCTATCCAACTTAACGTTATGCTTCAGTGTACCTCTCACCATTCTATGATCGCTGCCGGTTTTCAACCTCCTGATCACTGAGACATCACTGTACAGTTATGTATAGTATGGTCATCATAATGAAGTCAATCTCATTTTTTGTCGAACCGTCGGGCCTCAACCATGCCTACTTTCAGTCGGAACGCTTCTGAAAGGAAAAGTTTGTCATAAAGAGTTCCCTTTTCTCCATGAAGTCGCCTAGCTGCTGGTCGCTTAGGTTCCGTTGCCCTATTCGAAATTTCCCTTACTTCAGCTCACCGTTCTCTCTTGTGCCTAGTTTTGCGATGAAGTTTCCCATTAATACAGTATAGTGCATTTTGGAGGAATGCTTGGCTCTAGATATAGCCTCATACATTTCCTCCACCTGCTCATCGGGATGTGCCGAGGTTGGTGCGTAAAGCTATATGACCTTCAAAAAATACCGTTTGGTAATTCTGAGTATAAGAAACGCAACCCTCGTTGACACACTATCACTCTTTACAATTTTGTAACGAGAGACTTGTGGACGATAAATCCGGCAGGACGACCGTCAGTCTCAAGGAGATGTCTTTGAGACAGATAGTCGCCCTCCCGTTGATAGAACAATTACCATGTCCTCCCCATCTCTTCGGCCCTCGGATAATTCTATAATATTCCAGCGTAACTTGTCTATGTCTTCTTCCATCTGAAGGATGTTCTCGTCAGTTGTCAGGGCGCGTGCGTTATATTTTGCCAGTTCAATTTGTCTTAGGTGGCAACAGAACCTCCACCGGTGATTCTTATTCTTCTGCTCCGCCGTTACCATGGTCGTTACCATAGCTAGGAGTAGCGGGGCCGGAGGTGCCTGGAGTCCGTCTCTTCGTAACCTAATTCATGGCGGATATATTATCCTAGTAGCCACGCTTGTTGAGCGGGTTGGCAACCACAGTTTTTTTTATTGTTGTTTTGCTGTTATCAGAAAGATACTGCGGCCCTTCTTCTGCCTCAGTTTCCCCCTGTCGCCTCTTATGACACCCATAGGAAAATGTGGGCTAGTGGGTATATTAAGTGGTGGGTTTTTAAGAATATTACATTTACTCACACACTTGTGCATTTTTATCTTGTCCTGATCGTCCTGGCTAATCTTCATTGAGACTAGCCGCCGTGACTAAAATTCGGTCTGGGGGAAATTATTATTGGTTTCGAATGAATTCCGCGTAGCGCAGTTCTGCAATAACAGTTCGTCTCTATCTAGGAGTCCGTATGGGTAGGTGTCTCCCCACCTATTTCTGTTGCCAAATTAGCTAAGCCAATTAAATTACGAAGCATTCCGTCTTGGAACTTAGAGGTCTCATCGCATAAGTTTTATTTCATATAGTTGGCTGCAGGTGTCCATTTGCTGCAGAGGCCTCTATCAGGTAGACTGTAAGTTTATTTATCACTCCTTTTTTATTAAAAAAAACTTATAAAACGAATGAAATACCTGAAATTTCTTAAGGATATCAACGTGTTTTATTCATTTTTACTCCCGGAAAATAGGTCTATTGTTGTATTTAATTTAGCAAAAAAGTAACAAACTTTATTTCTCGCAGAAAACATTCAGTCTATTTCATTGCCAACAAAGGAAATGAACCAAAATTTTGCTGGTCTTACAGCCACCGCTTCCGGGTACGGAAAAACAAGCGATAGTAAGTGAATTGTCTATATAATTTATTTGCAAGAATAATTTTAAATACTGTGGTACCAATAATCCTTACTAAACGTGACAACTATCCCCCCTATGACTGGTATAGCCTATTAAAGTTCACTTGTGAACATAGCCCCCCTCCCCATAGATTGCCTCATATGACGATATTTACCATAGTTGCCACGCTTGGCAATCGGGTTGGCAACCGCAGATTTTTATTTTAAGTCGTTATTAGGAAGACGCTGGTGCCTATCTCTTGATTTGTTTCCCTCTGTCGCCTCTAAAAACACTCACGAGATGATATAGGGTAATGGATATTCTTACACCGCCACTTCACGGTCCCCCCTATGAGGCATGGCCCCATGTCCAGCAAAACACTTTTGATGAACGGTAATGACTAAAAAATTTCAGGACATAAATGACCCCTATTGTAAGCATCGTAAGAGGTGGATCGGTGAATATCAGAAAGATTCCTTCAATGTCTATATAACCATTTCATATTCTTGATATATAATTGTTTGAGAGTATAAGGGAATTGTAAAATAATGCAACTTGAATGTGGTCTTGTACGATTGTATTGATCTCACAACAGTTAAAAGGGTGATAAAATATTGCAAAGATAAGGAGCTTGTTTAAAATTAAAGTTATGTACTGAAGTAATTACTACGAGTATCTACGTTGTTTAAATCTTTGCTCAGAAAGAAGGCGCAGGCACTTCAACATGTCCCCGGGAGTTGAAATCTTTGATTTCAAACAGAAGTAAATGACACAGGCAATGGATAAATCCGGTAAAATGCCCTCTTGATAATCCCAGTAGAAGTTCTGATGTCTGTAACTCGAACAATGCTATTGGCTCTTGGGTGGATTGCAACGACTCTTCCCAGCTTCCATTTCAGCGGAGGAAGGTTGTCCTCCCTTACTACTACCAAATCATTTATCTTTAAGCTATCTTTGCAAGAACTCCATATTACTTTTGTTGGAGCTCTGCGACATACTCCTTGCCCATCGTTCCCAAAAATGCTGACGCAGTTGCTCAATGTGTTGGAATCTGGTTAATATAGGAGTGGAATGATGCTGGTAGTCCGGTAGCGGCAAAGAAGTCAGCGCACGCCCAATTAAAAGATGTCCCGGAGTGAGGGGCGTACAATATGCAGGATCTGAAGATAGTGGAGTGAGTGGTCGGGAATTCAGGATTGCTACGATCTGGGTCAACATGTTGCAAAATTCTTCATACGTTAAGTGACAGTCGCCCAACATTCTAAGCAAGAAAATAAATAATTATTAGAGTGCAAAAACTTTAACTTGGTGTAGATAATAATAATTAATGCTATTATACGATTTCTACTGCACAACTATATTAAATAAAGTAAAAAAGCAAAAAATAAAGTAGATCAATTTCATACGGTATTCTTACGATACAATTTCTTACTTAATTATTGCAATTTATCAAAAAATTTGCGAATGTTAACCACAACGCAGTAGGTAATTAATAATCGAGAGGAACAAATATTCCCTAACCTTATAATAGCGGTGATTTACACCAAATACTATAAGATTACCTTAATAGAGTGTTGGGTGATTATAAATGTAAAATTTTATATTCAAGACCACGTAATTACTGCAAATTGCCCCACATTATTGACGGCGGCGACGTAATTCCAAATTTGATTCCAACGTAAACTCCACTAAACTTACCATATACGAGTATTATATAAATTCTGGTTCCTATTATTTTATATCCGGCGACGATCCAGTACCATGTTAGGGAGTATAAGGGAATTTTAAAATAATGCAACTTGAATGTATTTAAAAGAACTTTATTTTAAGACAATTGTAATTTACATGAGAACAATTTGATCTTTATTATAATTATGAAAAAAATACTTTTTTTTTATTAACTATCTAATAAAGATACTTTGTAATTATAGCACAAAGCAGTTTTCCAACTACAACTTCCCTGCATCAAATTCAACTCACAGTCATGAACAATACAGAGTGCCAGAAAAACTTCAAGGTTACAATACACAATAGCCATTTGTGTACGGACGGAATACGTGGAGTTGGAACTTGTGACGGTGATTCTGGTGGCCCATTAAGTCTTGTTTGGAATCAACGACGCATTTTGGTGAGGAATATTTTTTACTATTTATTGGGATGGGAACAGTATTCCATGTGAGGCCAAACCTGCGCCTTGTAAAGTTGCAGGCAGTGTGCTGCCATGGAATACTGTCCCGCTCTGCTGACCACGCTAAGCTTTTTAGAGATCTAGAGGAGAGATAGCATGCAACCTTGTAGAACACCAGCATTAATAGACTTGTAATCGGAGTATGCATCGTCTACTACGACCTTGATGCTCCGATCTTCTTTTTTTAGGATAAGGGTGACCATCGAGCACACAGTCTACCTGATGTTAAGTGGTTACTGTGACCCATAGACAACTACATCTATCCTTGTTTGCGAATAAAATGCAGATGCGTTGTCAGCCGTGGGGACTAAGATAAAATTCCTCTTTTCCAGTAAAAAGGGTCTCCAGTTCTCTTCACTCACCAAACGAAACACAGCAGCATTGCAGCTGCTATTTTATGCTCATATTCTGTAAGAACGTGGTCCTTCCTAGGTCGGATAGGACCCATTAATGATATAACTATTGATATGATTGTAGCATGGTTCTACCACGTCTATCACGTATATCTGCAAGAAAACGGGTGATCCAATAGCACAATTTCTCGGAAACCCCATAGGAAATAAGCTTCGAAAGAAGAGCTTTGTGCCAAATCCGATCGAAGGTCTTCGCTATGTCTAAACTGACCACCAAAGCCCCTCCCTTGGACTCGACCGCTTGCGCCTATCGATGTGTTAGATAAACAAGAAGAAGAAGCTAATCAACCCTGACGGAAACCGTATTTGTAATTGTTTCAATTATTTTGGAGAATTTTTCGGTCAGAAGGAGCATGGATCCGCCTACACGATATAGTATTGGATGGCGTTTAGGTATGAGTAAAGTCCCCTGATATTGCAGAAATTCACAGATAGCGTGGCAGGGGTCGCCTTGGTCTTGTTACTTAGTTTGACCCGAGCAGTTATTATCTTGAGTAGAATTTCCCCCCATGCTCAGTAGGGGAACAGCTTGGTCATAGATGCTCAGCGAGGGATTCTCCATAAGCAGGGATGCTGGTATGAACGTGCAACAGCAATATCTGCTGCATGGCTCTACCACTGTTAAATTATTAATATTAGCATTATGTTTTTCTTAAATAAAGAAAAACAATGCAAATGCCTAGTGAAAAACACTTTTTTATATTTGCCAATTTTATTAGCTCGCTAATCAAGATTTTGCGTAACTAGCTGAGCATAGCATATGCAGGCGCACGCACAATAACTCAACAAATTTGCGTCGTAATCGGTTGAATGGCATAGAAACTCAGAGAAGACTAACAAACAAATAAACATTCATTATTTGTTGGAAACTATAATAATAATAATAATAAATATTTATTTCATTTCGAATTACACATGTTGACATACAGGAATCAGAATGATTACAATTAATAAAGTAACAATAAGTCTCACAAAAATAACATGCTATGATAAAATTAAAACTATGTGTAGCTAAATAATGTAGAATCTACAAAAGAAGATAGAAAATTCATATTTATAATATTAGCTACCTGCCTGAACTAGGTTGAGTACCTGTGTTTCAGACATCACTTATACAATCGGTTTAATAATGTAGGACACCTAGATATTTAAATAATTAAACTAAATTGTATAATAAATAAAATAACTAAATAACAATTATTATTTATTGCCTACAATTAATACAAACTATTTTAGTATATCTAAGAACTTCTCTGTGTCTTCGTAATTTAATTTATTTAGAAATTCCCTTACATTTATATTACAGTCCTTAATACCTTTAGTGACTTGTTGAGCTTGTTATATAGAAAGGGTCCTAAAAATATGTAAAATTTGTTCACAAATGCGTGTTTGGTTTGAGGGTTTACACAAACTAAGTCCATTCTTCTCCTGTCTATGGATTTTAAGTTAAATGGAAGTTCGGTATGTTGTTTTAATATGATTTTCAGGATAAACAACTGACGGACAGTTAGTACACTACATGCCAAGTACAGTTGATGTGTAGGAAACATGAATGGACGGAAAGTGGCTACCTTTAGAACTGCTCTCTGAGCACGTTCTAGTGGGAGCAATATTGTTTTAGAAGCACCACCCCAGGAAGTAATGCCATAAGTGAGTATGGATTGACACAAAGCTAAATAGACCTGTCTTATCAATTTGAAGTCAGCGATGTTACGAAGATATTTAAAAATGTATATTAATTTACGAACTCTAGCACAAAGTAAATCGATGTGCTTGCGGAAATTTAAATTTGTGTCAAACGTGATACCTAGATATTTTATATTGTCTGTTTTTGTTAAAGCGGGACATGCACATGCAATGTCGTCATACGAGTTACAATGATGAGCGTAAATATTAAGGTCAGCAGGTATGTTATTATTTCTCATTAAAAATAACATATATTGTGTTTTATCTGCGTTTAAACTTAGGAGATTATTTATAAGCCAATTAGATACTATATTAAAGCCTTGCTGAGCGTATTTATAAACCTCTTCTCGTGATTTAGCTGAAAATAACAGGGCTGTGTCATCCGCATAAGACATTATGACACCATTTTGAAGTTGAAGATTGCATAAGTCATTTATATAAATTAGGAACAATGTAGGCCCCAGGATACTGCCCTGTGGGATTCCAAAAGAACTGTTTTGTAATTCAGTACTTGTATACTCACCGATTTTTACACATTGAAAGCGATCACTTAGATAATCGGAAAAAAATTGTAGTTGAGTTCCCCTTATGCCAAGTGTTTCAAGCTTTTGCAATAGTAAAGGGCAAGAGATAGTATCAAATGCTTTGGCAAGGTCTAGAAAGATCCCAATTGAGTATAAACCATTGTCAAGATTACTTGTGACATACTCTGTCAATTGGTGCAAGGCATCATTACAAGATCTCTTAGGCCTAAACCCAAATTATCTGTCTGACAGCAAGTTATTAGTTTCCAGATATTTTATCAACCTGGTATTTATGATCTTTTCTAAAATTTTAGATAAACCAGATAGAACTGAAATCGGCCTATAGTTATTAACTAAGTTTTTATCACCAGCTTTGTGAATAGGAGAAACCACTGCTTTTTTAAGCAGTTTCGGGAAAATACCATTTGTTAGGCATAATTGAAAGATATGTGTTAACGGGGCGGCCAGTAAATGTTTAAATCTTTTCAGTATGCGATTAGGTATATTGTCCCATCCAACTGCACAATCTTCTTTTAAGCCAGATATTATACTTAAAATCTCATCAATATCGGTATTTAACAATACAAAAGAATTTAACTTAGAAAAGGATGTGGGCATAAAAATTGGATTACGATTGTTGCTTAATTTTAAAGTTGTCTCTGCTATTTTTTTGCCAATATTAATAAAATACCTAATTATTCACTTTATTGGTTGCTTCATTTGGGCTTTTGTCTAATAACAGTAGATCAAGTGGGGGTCCAAGATTTTTTGAACTGAAGGTATTATTTTTAATGAACTTCCATACAAGTTTACTATTTTTACCGGCCTTTTGTAAAACATTTTTGTCATATTGTATTTTGAGGATTTTTAATAGTTTATTGCAAAAATTCCTATATCTTTTATAAGTAGCAGAAAGTATTAAATTATCAGGAGAAAGTTTAGATTTTAAATGAAGTTTGTCTCTATTTCTTATACAGCGGACGAGACCAGGTTATCCAAGGTTTAATATTATAATACTTACATGATAGTTTTATTGTTGATGTATTATTCATTATTGCATATTGTAAAGAATTTATAAAGTAACTCAAGGACGTATTTGCATTGTCAGAGCAGTAAACAACGTCAAAATTAATGCTACGAATGTGATTTTCAAGGTTCGTCATATGGACTTTAGTGTCGGTACGTATGCAGTTTTTCCTAGGTAAGGCTAATTGTAATGTTAGTAAAATTGCTTGATGATCAGTAAGCAAGGAATTAGTAACTAATGTTAAAGAAGGTTTATGTGATTTAATCACAAAATGGTCTCAACAAAAGCCACTTTGATGTGTAGGGTGGTAATGTGTTGGTAATAGTCCATGAAAAGAGCAAATATTTAGGTAGTTATGTGCATGGTTATCTGTTTTTCCAGGGGTAATATTAATATTTATGTCACCCGTTAAGATTATATTTTTATACGAGCTAAGTTTGTTTAAGGTAATATCAAGGGACTCTAGGAATCTATCAATATTTTGTGAAGGAGGTCTGTAAATTGCGATAACAATCGTCTCGGAATTAATTCTAATGATTAAGCAATTACTATCCTGGAATGTAGGTTCTGTAACAGTTACTTTTAAATTATTTTTAACATAGATTACTAAACCGTCATTTTGATTTATGTTTTTTTCGGTTTTGTGTAAAGAATAGTCATCTAGAATCGGTAGGTGGGGTGGGAGGTTTGACAGCCAACATTCTGTAAGGACAATAATATCACATTTTATATCCAGTCTATGCAACAAGACTTCAAACCCGGTTATATTCCGATTTATGCTTCTAATATTTTGTGTAAGTAAGACTAACTTATTTTCAGTACGTGGAAGGAAGTGTTTACAGTCATCAACATTACACGTTTTAGCGTCTAGTTTAGTTTTCTAGGTCATTGAGTAATTGATTCGCCATACTTAAGCTTAAGGATAAACTAAAACTAGTGTTTAAGAGCTAAGTAAATAATATAATACACGGCGCTCTTAGGCGCCCTCATAGCCTATGGAGTTGATATATTTCTCCTCTGCGAATTTACGTGCTGGACAGCTTTCATCACCAGTTTTGTGGTCGCATTTTCTTTTAAAACGTTTACACGTCGCGCAAACGGGGGCGTGCGCTTTGTTATTACATTCTTTAAAGGAATGCCCAAGCTCTCCACAGTAGTTACATGTAGGGCAACTTTCACGACAAAATTTGGCTGAGTGACCAAACTGCTGGCAGTTGAAGCATCTTGTTACTATTGTAAAGTCTCTGACTGGGCATGAGGTCCAATTAATATATATTCGTCCTTGATTGATAAGGGCCTTCCTGATGCTAGGTGGCACTTCGATAATGTAATTGCATGTAGGAAGGTTTTTCTTACCTGATTTATGGCTCAGTTTGACTGTTGCCAGGAAAGAATCACGCGTGGCTTTGGGAAATTTATCGGCAATATTTTGTTCGAAGATACACTCGAACACTTCTTTATCCGTGAGGGCTAAAGGGACACCAACAATTGCAATCCTCGGACGTCGTTTAGTCGGCTCTTCCATGGTAAGGCCAGAAGATACAAGCTTCTCGGAGTTCTTTAATTTGTCGATATCCCCTTTTGTCTCAGCGCTAATTATAACTCCCCCATTTTTGACCTTCCTCATGCCCCGGACATGTAGTTTGAGTTCTTCTGGGGATATTATTTTTTGTAAGAGGCACTTCGTGTCATCACTGGATTTGGACTTGTCCCTCGGATAAATTGCTAGGGTACTAAGATGTTTGGGCGAATGAGGGTTTGGCCACCTTTTTTGACCATGTCCGCAAAAGAGGTTCCAGAGTCCGGTTTTGATGACTCTTCGATACTATTCTTGAGTTCCTGCAGCTTTTGGGACAGGTCAAGTTGGTTCTGTAGAGAAACGATGGATGTCTGGGCTTTAGTGGCATCCATTTTGAGGGACATGTACTGGACTACCAATTGTGATGTACTTTGGCCTACTTTTCGACAAAGCGAGCTGATGCGCATTTTTTGATCTGAGTTTAGTTTTCCTTCTGTAGCGATGGAGCACACCTCGTGAAGGCACAGGTCAATGCTTGTCATCCACTGCTGCAACTCAGGAGTTGGAATTGTTTTGATTGGTTCGCTTGAGGTGGGTGTCTGCATGACAGTGGGTGGGGTTGATGGAGGCGGGGTGCGAGTGGTTCTGGCACTCCGGTTGAAAGGACTGTTCTCCATTTTAGTACCTATACTAGATTAAGCTAAAACATTTCAACAATATCACTAACACAAATATAACTAAAGTATGTCACAGTTACTACCGGTATTGTTATAACGAGGTCACGGCTAAGCACATACTTATTTAATTATTTTAATTACTATATGACACGTCTGTACACAATAACGTGCACTTTCGATCTCCATTACTATACATGTTGGTAGAGCCATGCTGCAGTTATATTATTATGGTTGTAGCACGAATGGGTCGGCTCGACCGGGGAATACCAGCGTGAAATAGCAGCTTAATTCTGCAGTGTTTCGTATGTTGAGTGTAGAAAACCGGAGAACCTTTTTATTGTAATCTGGTGAATGGCAAAAAGGACGCATTGAAATCTAAAAACCATCCATTTTCACCATTATAAAATTAAATGAAGATGGAGCTATCGTCCTCCGTACGATACCGCAGTGAGTAAGAGTAGGACTATATGACAATTAAAATTTTTAGTTTTAGGTGTTATTATGATTATTTATAGTGTATATTTTCTATTTGGTTTACAGGTTGGAATCGTCTCTTTTGGCCTAGGAGATGGTTGCCAAAAAGGACTGCCTTCAGTTTATACTCGTGTGACAGCTTTTCTTACTTGGATAAATGCTAATTTGTAAAATTTTACAACTTCATTTACGCCTAACAAAATGCTGAAATTTTTTTTCTTTATATTCTTTATGAAACTGATATTTGGAACAAACTTTAAAATAAAATTATTGACGTAGTATAGCTACTCTGGTATATATAGGTTACTGAACGTATGGGTTTGTTTAACTGGAGAAAGAATCTTAGACATTTTTTTATAGGTAGCGAGCTATTTTGTGTCAGGCCTTATGGATTGTCAGTTCGTAAGTAAAATTTCCGCCCCAGAAGATATTTGTTGAAATGCTGCGAGGACTTTACCACAGCAAGCAATTCCCGCCTTGTGACACAATAGTTCCTATCCGGCTTTGAAAACGACTTGCTGAATTACGCTATCACAACCTTTTGATCACCATTCCTTTGAGACAACACACCGCCAAGTCCTATATCACTTGCGTCTGTGTCACCTATAAATTCCTTGCCCGCATCAGGGTACCCCAAAATAGGAGTTTTGCACAGACGGTCCCTGAGCTCCTGGAATGCGATATCGCAACTTTCATCCCAGCAGAAATGTCGTTTCTTCTCGGTTAGCTTGTGCAGAGGTTTGGCTATATCTGCAAAGTTCTTCTCAATTTGCCTATAATAGGAGCACAAACCCAAAAATGCTCTAACCTGCGTATTTTCTCTTGGCACCGGCCAATCGTTATCTCCATTTTGATTATTTATTGAGGATAGATTTAGGTGTCTATATGTTAAAGTATCAACTTAGCATCAGATGGACTGTGTGCTCATTTGTTACCTGTATTCTGTAAAATAATAATATGTATAAATACCAAATATTAATATCCCAATTCAGGGTGAAATCTTTAAAAACGCTTTATTGCGAAAAATGTTCAACTTGGCCGGAACGAGTTCTGTTGAACAGACTTCCGTCGTGATAGAACTTAATCGGCTTAAAACCGCCTCTTAAAGACTCAGTATACTTTATTTTGAAATTTTGCTTGGTTGTTTAGATAAAAAAGTGGCCGGTATATATTCCGCTATTTAAATGAAAAATGTGTGACAGCGATGGTCGTTTATTGACAAAATTTTGCTATATAGTACAAGATGAATTAAAATTATATTTTCAAAGCTATGTTTCAAAAAGTGTTTTCTGATTTTTGGCTGTGGAAGTAAAATAGGAGATAAGTACCACATGGAGTACAGAGCTATATATATATATATATATATATATATATATATATATATATATATATATATGTGTGTGTGTGTGTGTGTGTGTGTGTGTGTGTGTGAGTTTGTGTGTGTGTATAGAGAATTATTTACCCTTATAAACAATGAATTCAATAAAACATTCACTTCTAAAACATTCTCCAGAAACAGTCGCAAGGCATTTAATGAGTGGGCGACAGTAGGAATTTATAAAAGCAGACAAAGGTTATATGACCTTTACCATGAAAGATCGCATAATCTTTCCGATGCTTTTAAAGAATATGTAAAAAATTATTCTAAAATGTTTAAAAGAAATTGCTCCACAGCCAAATCATTACATATTAGTAACAACATTAAGATGGCTAAGAATAAAATTAAAATGACGTGGAGTATAATTAACAGCGAAACCGGTAAAGAGAAACCTCGTAACTCAAGCTATCGATTAAAAATTAATAATAATTTGCAGGGGTGTTTGAGAAATATTTCACTGATGTTCCTATCTTGACAACAGAGTCTGTCTGTCGCCGAGTCATTACTTAAACAGAATGTTAATAGCTGTTTAAAAGAATTTAGATTTGAAAAAGTATTACCGCATAATATTGTAAAATACTTCAAAACCATTGATGTAAAGAAAATCGCAGATTTGTGGGGGATTTCCGTAACTGTGATTGCGTCCATAATAGATTTAATTGCACCTCATCTTGCTATTATTTTTAATACTTGTATCGATTCGGGTGTGTTTCCTGATTTAATGAAGTATAGTAAAGTAATAATACCCTTATTTAAATCTAGTAGTACATTGGACCCCGCTAATTATAGACCTATGTCAGTACTACCAACTCTCAGTAAAGTTTTTGAACAAATAATTCAGGATCAATTGTTATTTTTTTTTTAATACAAATAAATTACTTCATAAAAATCAATTTAGTTTTACAAGGGGTCGCTCGACGTCTGACGCCGGTGTTGAGCTTATGAAATATATTTTTAATGCCTGGGAGAGTTCACAAGATGCCTTAGGCATTTTTTATGATCTTTCCAAGGTTTTTGATTGTATTCATCATGAGATATTAATCAGAAAACTACAACATTACGGTGTAAAAAAATTGGCGCTTACTTATTACTTCATATTTAAGTAACAGAACTCAAAAAGTCGTGATCAATGGTAAAGGTTCCTCCAGATCGGTAGTATCAATGGGCCTTCCTCAGGGCTCGATTCCTGGCCCATTCCTGTTTATAATCTATATTAATGGTTTACCTTATCTTGTAGGGACAATCACGGTATAGTATTATTTGCTGACGATACTTCTTTAGTTTTCAAACTGAAACGGCAGTCAATTAAACATGAAGATGTAAATAATGCTATCGAAACTAGTACATTGGTTTAACGCCAACAATTTGCTCTTAAACGGCAATAAGACAAAATGTATTAAATTTACAATACCTAAAGTAAAACATTCGAAAACCAATGTACTCTTAAATGGGGAGGAGTTGAGTCTTGTGGATACCACTGTTTTTCTTGGAATTACAATTGACACGAAACTTCAATGGGGCCCCCATATATCTAAATTAGCAAGCAGACTTAGTTTTGCAGCATATGCTGAAAAAGATTAGAAGTCTCACAGATGTTGAGACAGCTAGGTTAGTGTATTTTAGTTACTTTCATAGCGTAATGTCTTATGGAATTATGCTATGGGGTAATGCGACTGATATTGAAGCTATATTTTTCTTTTGCAAAAGAGAGCCGTACGGGCGATTTATAATCTAAATTGTAAAGAGTCCCTCAGAGAAAAATTTAAAGAAATAAACATATTAATTTAGGCATCGCAATATATTTATGAAAATGTAATGTATGTACATATAAACATAAATAGCTTTAATAAGAATAAAGATGTTCATACCTTAAACACTAGGAACAAACATAAGCTTGTAATGCCAGTTACCAGACTCATCAGAATTAGTAATTCATTTATGGGGCAATGTATATGCTTTTACAACAAAATCCCAGAACATGTTCAAAGTTTGTCATAAAACAAGTTTAAAAGTTGTATTAAAGAAAAACTGTACAAAAAGGGTTGTTCGCGCCAAACGCTGTCAAGAATCGACGCCAGATGTCACTCGGCTCGGCGCAATACCGGTTGAAGTTCGGCCGTGCGTGACAGAGGCGCGCGGGTCGCGAGAGAAAAGGCAGAATCGTCTGTCAGCTGTGCTTGGAACAGCACGCTGTCATTTTTGTCAAGAACTCGGAATAATTCGGCGCGGCCAGTAAATATACGGTCTACCATTGTGACGCGCATTCCTGCTGGAGAGCTTCCCAGGGACTCATTGTGTCTGACTCAGAATCTGCAAAAGTGCATTCGGCAATATTAGCTAGTGCGGCCTCTGATATTCTAGAACTAACTGTTGCGACGCGAAACGGTAGTGACCTTTGATCCGTAAACTCCGTGTGCGTTTTGTGCGTTAACCTTATAACCCGCGATAGTTAGTGGCTTCTGTAAGTTAGTAAATCGTACGATAGAGTTAATTGACTGTCATCGTGACGAACGAGGAAAGTGACTGTGGTCCGGCGCCGAAGCAGTCTGAAGCGGTGCAGCTTTTTGGAGCAGCCTGGAACTCGGCCGCGGCTGATCGCCTATGCTTGACAAGGCCCCACACATTCACACCTCACTGTACTCTACTCGCCATCCACTATTACACACACTCACGGCCTGCCCAAGCCTTGGTGCGAAGTTAGCTTCGGATAATGGTAAGTACTATGTCTTTCTAGCGTCCTCCCATCTGGTATATTGTAATTAGGAATTTCCACGTGGCCATGTTCAGGCCCCGTCCCTCTGCTGCTCGTCGATGGGATTACTCATGGGTCCTAATCCCGTCAGCCTTGGTTGGGGCAGCTAGGGGCGTGTACAAGGGTTATTATAAAATCAAAGAATACATTAATGAAAATAGCCCATGGAAATATTCTATGAAAATTCATTTAAAATTGTATAAACAAAATTATTGTTAAGTGAAATTATGTTTAAAAAAAAGTCCCGCTGGGTTTCTTGCTGGTTCTTCCCGGGACAGAGGTATTTTCCGAACCAGTGGTAAATAAAATATTGACTTTCAATAAGTATTATGTAATAATCCATATTGAATAAAAATCATTATTTTATATTCTATTCTATTCTATTCTATGCCACAGTACTTCGGAACATAGATAAAGTGATGTAGGCTTCTGTGCTTTTCGTTAGAGGTGACGAAAGCGCCGCCATATTTAGCTGACTTTTGGCAGCAGCTTAAGAAAATCTGTCACACTATTCATCCCGTCGGTGTTTTAAAAGGTGGCTATGGGAAATATCAGAAAGACATTTTGGCTTTCGATACATAATTCGAATCATCTCTGTATCATCATCATCAACATAATTACAGCCCTTCACAAGTCCACTGCTGAACATAGGTCTGCCCCAAAGAATGCCACAAAGCACGGTCCTGAGCCACCTGCATCCATCGACTTCCTGCATATCTTACCAGGTCGTCACTCCATCTATTGGGGGAACGCCCTACACTTCGCCTGCCGGTACGAGGCTGCCACTCGAGAACCTTTCTTCCCCATCGGTTGTCGGTTCTTCGAGCTATATGGTCGGCCCATTGCCACTTCAGCTTACTAATCCGTTGGGCTATGTCGGTCACTCTGGTTCTACTGCGAATATCCTCATTTCTGAGTTTATCACGCAGAGAAACTCCGAGCATAGCCCTGTCCATAGCTCGCTGAGCGACCTTGGGCTTCCTCATCCGGCCAGCAGTGAAGGACCACGTCTCAGTTCCGCTGGCAACACGCACAGGATGT